CCCTGGTGGACACTAGAGAGAATGCAGCTTTAACACATGATGCTTTGACAGGTTGACTTCTGGCTTTAAGAAACCTAAAAAGCTGAGACTCAAAGGTCCACTTACTCGCTTCCAGCTGCATCTCACTGGCTTCATTATTATCTTAAAGTCAGGAATGAACTTTGTCGCTCACACCGACAGGAATACGTGTGTTTCTTATGTTCTACGCCCTCAAATATACGAGCGTCCTCGACTTAATGATTAACGGACTCCTCAAGGCCGGAGCTTCAACGATACAGCAGGTTTGTCCTCAGATGAACCTTTAAACTCCAAACAGAAGAACGCCCCAAAATATAAACACGATTATTAATCCTGTGAGTCTCGTTCAACATTATGAATCAGAGTCCAGCTGAACTGAACACTCCCTGAACTCTGTGCAGCAAGAAAACTACGAGTCACCGTGACTAGTGGACCGAGATCAACGGTCAAGTCTCTCAAAGCTTCATTCCAGACCTTTTATTACGCAGACACGAGACGTTTGTCTGCAGGAAAGTGAACAATACAACAAACATAATAAATCTTTTGTGAATAATTGTTCATCTGGGTTCAAATGGAGCTTTTTTTCCTTCAAGAAAGTCCCTCGTTCCTCTGTGATAGAGTCCAGATTACAAAAGAATAAAAGTTCGGTGATGTCACCTTTGGTCTTCTATAACAAAGTCAGATTATTAACAAAATAAAAGTCTTTCATTTAAAGTGACTTTAGCTAATAACTTTAATAAATACAATAGAACCAGGTTCTATTTAGTGCCACATATTTAATAATGTTTATTTCTTCACAGCTGGACTGACTGTCTCTTTTTGAGGTCCCTGAACTCACCACGGACCAGACGTTTCTACCAGACTTTAACAAAATAAAGTCACATCTGACGGACTCTCCGACAGAGAAGCGTGCACGAGTTATAAGTTATTTATACTAAAATAAACAGGAAGCTGTTTGATGAAATGCTCCTGCACGTGAGCTCCGACAGTGTGTTTCCTGTGTGGAAGTTAAAGGAGTTCCTCACCTCCTCCAGGAATTTGGTGACATCGTAGATTTTGTTGCTGATGATGATCCACGTTGACTTGAACGTGTTCTTCTGCTCGATCTCCGACAGTCTGTAATATTTCACTCCATCAGGACTTTTTTCCTCCTTTTCACCCATTTTTTTTCCGATACAGTTTTGACCGGAAAGAGCCGTTAAACCGCGTGCTTGTGGTTATGTAATCCCACCGAGCACAAACACACCGACATTTAACCCACTTTCTACCAACAACAGTAAAGTGTCAGCGGCGGTGCGTTCACGGCCGTCAAGCTGTGCAGAAACACAACACGAGCAGTTTGGTTTACATTTTCAAAATAAAAGTCTCGTTTAATTATGTATAACTTGAAACTGTGCCTCATACTACAGCAATGTTTCAAAATGTATCATCAATGTATGGTTGAAATATGTTATTCTGTTTTATTCTTTGAACATATTTGGATTATTTAAAATAGGCTTAAAAAATATCAGATTTGAAAATACAACAACTGTTTGTCTAGTTGAGTGTTTCTGTGAATACTTTCAAAACGTTTAAAATATCATCAGGATTTTATATTTCAAAATATTAGCTATGTAACTTGAATGTTAAAATAATACACTTTATATGACTATGACTTGTAATAACTGTATCCTCTATTTTTTATTAATTTGGTCGTTTTGTAATCTCAAAACACCACTTTTCGATTTTTGAGACATTTATATTTTATTTTGGAAGTTTTATTTCCGATAAGAGTGCATTTATTTTTGGCCGCTTCATAGAGCCTCAAAGTTCCAAACACTATGTCTGGCCCCGCCCCCTCCCCCCCACCCTTCCTTATCTATGAACGGGACTCTGATTGGTCCGTAACGGTGCTTGCTGTGGGCGATGACGAGGCTAAAAGTTCACTTGAGTTCAGCAACTTTCAAGGAAACGCCCTTCTCACGCAAAGGGAGCTGCGCGCGGCTTTTTTCTGACGTGACGATTGTTTCCTCAACACCAGGTAACATGTAAAATGGTGACTAAAGATGGCGGATTGTTTGGGGAACGTTTTATTTGATTCTTCCTCAGCGCTCTGGCGGGAAAACCCACTGATTTCAAGTCAAAGATTTTGTATTGACACGATCTGTCACTCCATAATAGAAACAATTTAATAATCCATATAGTTAGTCTCTTCTTCGTCTGTTCTTCCTGTATCTTTCAATTTATTATGTTTCTTTTATATGGAAAATGAAAAATATATAAATAATTAATTGTAATTAATTAAAAGAAAGAATTTGAATACTATGTTACAAGTAATTTATGAACAGAGTGAGAGCTCTTCCTATCCACGTCTTCTACCGTCTTTAGCTTAGAGCAAATATTTTTTTATCGTTGTATTTCATTAAATTGTCACTTTTCTGTCGTAATTGACAGGAAACCAAGATGTCCCTCAACATATAAGAACTATCTCGGTCCTGTGTGAATGTAAATATATCGTTGTTAAACTAAATATCGATATACAAACTAAAAAATACGGATATTTCATGGTAACTAGGCTAGTTAGCTACCGCTAGCTTCTTGTTAGCTTGGTTGTTAGCTGCTAAGTGCTGCTATCACGGATACAAAGAGGTGAGTTTCAAAGCCCAAAATAACTATTATTTCTATTAATAATTATGTTTTTTACATAATGTTTTTATCTTTAAAGTGTCTAAATGTTGTAATGTGCATTATAAGTTACCAGAGTTCAAAGGGAGTTGTTTAAATTACCATAAAATAACATAAATTCCTCAGGATAGTATTAATTTATAATTTAATGGTTATTTTTATTATTATTAAATATGTTTTGTCCCACCAACAGATATTAATTGATATGTAAAGCAGAGTAAAAGCAACAAATTCTAAAAAAATTGTAATATTTTAATTATATATATATTTTGGCTTATTATTATTATTATTATTATTTATTTTTATTATTTTTTTCTTACTTTTTTAATACCTTTAATTCACACGCCTTCATAATCCTTACTGGTCGGTTGTATGTCTTATTATTTCGATTTTTATTCCTACTTCTTTATGGTCTTTTATATAATTTTATTTAATGTTTTTTTACTTCTTTTGGTGTTTTTAACACACCTTTTCCTATTATTATTATCATCATTATTTTTTTATTGCTAACCCTACATTCATGATTATTAAATGGTTTTAATTAACATGTTTAATTCACATTCCTCCTGGTCTGTTGCTTAGTTATCTAACTTTTTATTCCTACTTCTTAATTGTTTTAAATCACATATATTATTGATTTTTTTAAATTGTGTGTGTCTGTGTGTATGTCTCTGTATGTGTGTGTGTGTGTGTGTGTGTGTGTAGGATGAATCCCTCCATGTTGTTCCTCGCTCTTCCTGTCCTGAAGGATCTGGTCTGTGTCTCTGTGACTCTGCAGCAGGAGGACGAGGATCTGAGGAGCACACGGATCAAGACCTGCAGGTGAACGACCACAATATATTTATGAGTTATTCACATTGATTATATTTATGAGTTATTCACATTGATTATATTTATGAGTTATTCACATTAATTATATTTATCAGTTATTCACATTAATTATATTTATCAGTTATTCACATTAATTATATTTTTTACAGTTATTCACATTAATTATATTTATTACAGTTATTCACTCCTTAAAGTCACAGCCTCTGATAATAACTATGACTTCACAGCCGAGTACAAACTAAAGCTTCATGGTCGTGTTTTACTGTGACACCTGAACGTAGCATTCCTGTGGATGTGCCCTTGAGTAAACTGTATGGGTGTGTGTCTGTGTGTCTCTGTATGTATGTGTGTGTGTGTGTGTGTGTGTGTGTCTCTGTATGTATGTATGTATGTATGCGTGTGTGTGTGTGTGTGTGTGTGTGTGTGTGTGTGTGTGTGTGTGTGTGTGTGTGTGTGTGTGTCTCT